CCGATTTGTCAAAGAATGTGACTCATACCAAAGTTTGAGAAACATTTCCTCCCGAAACGAGATGCCCCAAAATAGAATCCAAGTTTCTGAGATATATGTGGGGAATTGACTTCATGGGACCTTTTCCAATGTCAAGAGGAAATAAATATATATTGGTGGCGGTTGACTACGTATTTAAATGGACGAAGGCACAAACATCACCTACGAATGATGCGCGAGTAATGGTTCATTTTCTTAAAAAAAATATTTTCAAGATTTGGTGTCCTAAAATCTCTTATTAGTGATCGGGGTACCCACTTTGAAAATGGTCAATTGGCCAAGGTATTACAATGATATGATGTACACCATAGATCTGCAACACAATATCATCCACAAACGAGTAGGTAAACGGAAGTCATAAACCAGGCATTAAAATGGATATTAGAAAGATCGGTTATATGAAATCAAAATGAATGGTCGGAAAAGCTTGATGATGCACTTTAGGGATTTCGCACTGCCTTTAAAACACCTATTGGTACTAAAGGGTTTTGACCACTCCAACAACCTTATGTTGCACATGCAACCCTAGATGCTTTGGATCCAAGTTTTCTCTAATTATGTAACAACCCAAAAATCACGACTAAAAATTTCTTTTAAAACGTTACTAAAACCATATTTATAAAACCATATCATAATTCATAACATAATTTTCGAGTATTAATTCAAAACATAATCTCATTATCAGAGTAAATCATTCCCAGGTAACTGACTATGGTGTCTGCACTGCAACCTCTGCGAGCTCCTCTTTTGAAAAGTGAGTACCTGAAACCAAAATTTAAAACCGTAAGCACGAAGCTTAGTAAGCTCCCCCAAGCTACCACATATCATACAATAACATATAATGTACATAATGGGCCTTGCCCACTGCATCGGACCGAGGTCCGGACTAACTGGGGCCTTGCCCCCTGCATCAGACTGAAGTCCGGAAACTGACTGGGACCTTGTTCCCTGCATCGGACCGAAGTCCGAACTATCTGGGGCTTTGCCCGCTGCATCGGACTGAAGTCCGGAAACTGAATGGGACCTTGTCCCCTGCATCGAACCGAAGTTCGGACTAACTGGGGCCTTACCCCCTGCATCAGACTGATGTCTGGAAACTGACTCAACAAAGCATAACATAACATATTAACTAGCATGGACATATATATACTGCATTCTGCATCGAGCTGTAGCTCGGAACACATAACACATAAATGCTGTCTGAGCCACGAAAGCATCAAACATACTAACTACTGCATCGGGCCGAAGTCCGGAAACTACTGCTAGCTAAACTGGCCGGCATTGTGGCCTTAGACACGTTCCTACTGGAAGGAAACTCACTTGGCACTGCTGAACTTGCTGATAACCCTCTAGCTGCTAACCGACAACCTTCTGAGCCGCTGCTCCTCTAGCTCTCTGAGATACCAATATCAAAATGATACTTAGTCTGACAATCCTTCAAAAGTCAACTAAGTCAACTCTGGTCAAAGTCAAAGTCCTGGTCACAGTCAACCTTCCAGGTTGACCCTACTCACTGAGTTAGCCTACTGACTCGTCAAGTTCATAAGCTCTGAAATCCCTTTCATTCGCGACTCGATTCTCCGAGTCAGACCATGACTCACCGAGTCTACTGATTTCCGAGTCCTGACCTGTCCACTCACTGGGTCCCCACTTAACTCACTGATCCAAGTCTTAACTTGAAGGGTTTGGGGTTTCGCGACTTTACTCGCCGAGTCCAAGAACAGAATTGCCGAGTCCAAGGCAATCTTAAATAGACTCGCCGAGTTGTTTTTCTAACTCGTCGAGTTGCTTCCTAACTTCATCCAACTCGCTGAGTCCACCCATGTGACTCGCTAAGTCTTTTCACTTCTTAATCCATACAGTGGCTTTTCGAGCCATGCAGGGGCTCAAATCCATAGATCCATTCCTCTAGAGCCTAAACCCCACGTAAAGTGGCAAACTTTACGTGTAACCAAGGAGTTATAGGCTTAGAACACTCTAGGGCTAGGGTTTGTAACAAAGGGGATTCACCAACAACTTATTGGCCTAAACTTTATGACTTTCTTGGTTATTACCAACCTACATCAGAGGTAGCAACCTCAGATCTACTCCAAACTCGAAATAGATCTCATCCATACTCAAAATGCCCAAAACTCAAACATAAGATAGATCAAAATGCACATAATCCCAAACAACAGACTATTACCTCAAATGAAAGCTCCAACTGAAGTAAATCCCGCATCTACAACACTCCTTTGCAGCAAAGCCCTTGATCTTCAACCCCCTCTCCAAGATTCTCTCCTCCAAGGCGCTATTCTCTCAAATAATGAAGGCTCACTCAATTCTAGGGTTTTTGGAACTCAAAAGGGGAGTAAAGAGGCTGAGGGTGGGTTATAATGTGCTTTATGTAGGGAACAACCTCTGGGATTAGGGTTTTTCTCGCCCAGAACAGACTTGTCGACTCCACTCACTGACTCGCCGAGTCGGTCACTTACTCAATGACCCGGATCCCGCTCCGACTCATCGAGTTCCTGCATGGACTCGACAAGTTGACTCTTGATTTAGAGCTTAACCTTTCTTTTCATGGTCATCCTGATTCTGGTTGTTACAAATTATACATGCAATTTGTTTTTCCAAAGCATACGTCCTAACTCGTATACAATTTGATAATTGAACAACATAACTAGTAAGATAAATTACCTCTCAGTAGGACTTGTAGTTCTTGGCCTTCAAAAACTTTAACACCTCAAATGTGATGCCTCTAGTGTGTCACTAACACCAAGTGCAAATGGAGGCTTGAGAGAATAGGTTACTTAGCACAAAATCGATTCACACTCTCCAAGAATGTATGTGGCAACCGATTTTAGCTCTAGGGAGTTCCTTTTATAGTGTGACAAGTGCTAGGGTTACATCCATGCAAACCGTAATGCACCATGACCCTTCATATTACTTAGGATCCATGGGTTAAACCTTCATGGACTATTCATGTTGGTTTAGCCCATCCTAATTAAGTATGGATCATTGGCCCACACTATAAGAATCATTGATTTACCAAATTAATCCATATATATTTAATTAGTCTCTTTGGATCATTAAATTAATTCCAAATTAATTCTTGATCAATACTAATTAAATAATATGATTTCATATTAATATATTATACTTTTAATATATTAACAAATAACAAATAACCTTATTCTCAAAAGTCCATCCTATCAAATTGCATTGGTGAAGGCAACCCAAAAGGACCATGGTACTCTCGAGTCAAGTACATACCACTTATAGTTATGAGCTTAGACACCTAATCCAATAGGTACTACACCTTATAGTTTAGTATATGGAAAAACTTGTCACTTTCCAGTTGAAATCGAACATAAGACCCATTGGCTTTGAAGACTTGTAACTTTGAATTGGATGAGCTTCATACCAATCGTTTGATGCAAATGAATGCCCTTGAAGAATTAAGAAATGAAGCATACACCAACTTATTAATTTAAAAAGATAAAATGAAGAAATGGCATGACGCAAGGTTAAGAGGGCATAAGGATTTTCACGAGGGGCAAAAAGTTCTACTTTTTAATTCAAGATTAAATCTTTTTCCCGGAAAATTACAAACTCGGTGCGATGGGCCATTTATTGTTAAACAAGTTTTCCAACATGGAGACATTGAGTTAATATCAAGAGACAGAACTCCCTTTAAGTTTAATGAGCATAGGGTCAACAATTATGTGGAAGGTATGCCAAATGAAGAAAAAGAGGGGGAAATTGTAAAATTCGCACGAGCCGAATCGACGTGAAGTAGGAAGGAGTCTGGCCGATGACTCCCTAGAAAGAAGCTCTCGCAAGATGCAACCTGTGGTTTTGAGTTTGCATTTTCTTTCCTTTTCTTTTATTTTCGTTATTTTTGCTTATTTTTCATTTAATTTTGCTCTATTTTTGTTCTGTCAATCCTCTGAATTTTTATTTAAGTTTTGAAGTGGGTAATAGCATGGAATGAGTGTGGGGTGGACATTTTTATAAAAGATTGACCAAAATAAAAGTATTTTTCACACCCCGACGTGATACTGTACACCACGACATGGTGACTTTCCAAAAAAGCAATTCACGAATTTCAATAAAACAACACGACGTGGTGAATGCCACACGATGTGTTGCCGGTTTAACTTCAGTAAAAAATTAGGGTTTTTATTCTCAGTCAAAACGTTTTCTTACTTTTTCACCACCACTCTGTTTCCTCCCAGTATTGTTCTCCCCCCGAAGACTCTTCACCGATCTCTTCACTTCTTCGATTTCTTCCAACAATGTACGATTTTTATCATCTTTTCTTACTTATTATCGAGTTTCTATTAGTTATTAGTCTACATATGCTTGATTTGAAAGAGATTTAGGGGCGATTTCTTAAACTAGGGTTCCGAATTTTGCCACAATCGGACCCAATTTTTGATGTTTATATCTTTCATTTGATGTTCACTTACATGATTACATGCCCTAAACAAACCATTGACTTGATTATAATTGAATATGGCTTTATTTTGTTCGCATTTTCATAGAAATACTCGACAGTTCGTCGACCACGACGACTCGTCATGGTCTTCGTCGTGGTCAGTTATTTTTGTTTATATTCGTTTTTTTATTACTAATGTTGCATATTGTTGCTTGGCTTGTTATTTTTTTATTTTGCAGATAATGGCTAGCAGATCATGGAGGAACTAACCAGGAAGTCGTCCCGACTTCCCTTGGTACCCTTTCCCCCGTGTCATGAGTCTCAGGGTTCTTGCACAATGGAACGAGCAGCTTGAGTGGATGATAAAACGCAAGGTTCATGTACCAGCTGCAGTTAATTGGGGGAGGATAGAGCAATATGGGTTGTTAGAGGGCATTGAACCATTTTTTATTAAGCTTTTGATGGGTTGCAAGGAAGGTTTATGAGCATGGCACGGAGGAGGCTATTCCAGATCCAATAGGTTGTCTATAAGGAATTGATGGTCGAGTTTTTAGCAACAGTTTCATTTCGAAGGAAAATTGGTGCGCTCAAGAACATAAATTTTACATTTTATCTTGGAGGAGAAAGGCAAGAGCTAAGCCTTGCCGAACTTATGATGAGGACGAAGATTTATCTACCGGCCGAAGTCCATACAGACTCTTATTTGGAGTTTATTACGGGTAGCATCCGTACCACTGAAGTGTTCAAAGATGATACTTATTGGCTGACCTTTGCAAATGGCACATACAACAAGGGCATCACACAAGAAAGCGAGATCTGGTTACTTCTCCACCGGCTCCTTCACATGTTAATTACAGATACAATTAATCAACGGTGTAAGTCCCAAAATTATGGATCTTATACAACATCAATCTTAATTTCTTAAAGAATGTGGAATGTTAATCAAGCAACGATTCAAGAACACACAAAACAACTTCAAATGCACACAATATATTGATTAATCGCCTGGTACGTTTGAATGCTCTCTTGACAGCTGAATACAATATGATCAACTATCGTAAAGTGTAAACGGCTATCACCTACATATATAACCTAAATAGAAAGCTTAATAAAAGCCCGACCCCAGCCCACAAAACGTACCCAGATCAGAATCAAGAAGGATTTCGATCCACTTAACTGAAAACACTACAAACCGATTTATATTATATAAAACTAGCATAAACCACATAAATATGTCCCAACATTCTCCCCCTTGGTTTATTGGTAGTTTATTTCAACTTTTCTTTGCAAGTTGAACATCTGATTGAACCATTGTAGTAGCCAATAACTTTGTCTCAAAAATTTGGGCTATCGACATCTTCTTTAACTTGGGTTGGTCTAGCGGTTGTAGTTGGCGTTTGTATAAGGTGATAAATCACCCCCCGTCAATATTTACATTTGTGCTTCGTTGACAATAGGGTCAAATCTGATTCTTCTTTCTCAATCTCAGATGGTGGTTCTATGGTTACAGGATCTGATTAGGGAGGAATCCTCGCAGCTCGATGTAGTTCTTTTATGTGAGCATCCATCTGGTTGGGTGTTGGTACATTTTACTTCTTGAATAAATAACTTTCTCTTTCAGTCTTAGTATGTGTAATCATCGCTTCATTGAATAGCTCCATCATTAAATGAAATGAAGGAATGTGTTCACCAACATCATCTGAAATATCTTTAGTCTTTGTAAACTTTCCAAATTTTGACCGCTCCTCTGTTCCTTCAAATGAATTTCTTCATCCAACACATGTACACCTTGAAAGGTAATCATGACTAAAAAAGTCCCTATGCATCACAAAATCAGAAAGACCCTTCTCACCACAGTTGTTCAAGGACCTAGCCTTGGCTCAGATGGAGACTAGTTGTAGTATCTATATGAACTTGGAGGAGCGCACTACGATTTATTGAGTATCGGAGAAATATTCATGGCTAGTTTCAATGTTAGCCCCTGCATATCCTAGATCAAATATCTCAATAAAGTTTTTCAAGTTAACTTGAACCTTGGCGAGACGTTTAGCGATAATCGTGCCTTGCGAGGTGAATCGCTCTAGTGCGAATACTGTTAATTCCTTACTTGCAAAGAATGTATCCAAGAATACATTTGAGTCTCTGCAGTTTTTCATGAAAAAGATATTGTCAAGACCTTGGGCGGGATGTTCAGCGATATCTATTTCCCGGTTGGGTGAATCGCCCAGGTGTCGTGACAGTTCTTAGGTAAAGATAACTACAAGACCAATTTGACAATTTGTATAGTTTCAAACTTTCAGTTCCTTAAATATGACAGTTCTTCCTAACTAACATTTTGTATAGTTGAATGCCTTCAATTTCTCCAATACGAAAATTGTTGAAAATATACTGCCTAACTGACTATCTGTACAATTCATGCCTTCAATTCCTTGTGAAAGTAGAGTCAAGTGTAATGACCGTTAATTCCTTTCACCTCCTTGCTCATAAAATTCCGATACAATCTCCTTGGATCTCTTCTTCTTAAGAATTCTTCAAGACAATGGAAAATTTGAGATAAAAGAAAAATAAAAATAAACTTAGCACACAAATAGAGCAACTAAGAATGAAAATAAATTAAAATACGTTCAAAAACAATATTTTCGGATTTTTGATTTTTCTAAAAAAATATATAACATAAATAAGCATATTTTTGTATTTTTGAATTTTATGATAAATAAAAACATAAATAAACATATTTTTGTATTTTTGAATTTTATGAAAATTTTAATCTTTTTGGATTTTTGATTTTTCTGAAAAAGAAATAAAAACAGAAATAAATATATTTTTATATTTTTTTAATTCTATGATAAATAAAAACATAAACATATTTTTGTATTTTGGAGATTTATGAACTTTTTTTTTAAAATTCTCCCCCTTAAATTTGTGCATACAATAAAATTGGAACAAATTTAACAAAAAACATAAATAAAATACAAAATGTACAAAACAAAAAATTTTGGGATCAAAGTTGTCAAGCAATTTAATATCTTTTATCAGCACACACATGCATGAGTAGCTCTGATCAATCACCAATATTGTGATCCACTTAAACACAAAGGATATTTGTAAGTTGGATAGAGTATAAGTGAAAAGACACTGCAAATATATTCTTAAATAGACCATTTAGCTGATGACGGCCAAATATATTGTTGTCCATTTAAATTCAGTAGCGAAATCTACAGTCAACCTTTAGTTAATTCAATTTTAAGTTCACCAGAATGTGTTCCCCATTTCCCGACATACATCAAGGAATTACAAAGAACTCTTTATTTTAGGTGAGTGCTCAATTATTTGAGAGAGAAAATAGATATAGAGATGCATATGTTGTTCCCTAGGTTGGATCTCTTCCAATCACACAGAGGGGATAACATATGACTTACATAGACATAGGGATAGAGAGATAGAAGGTGCATATGTTGTATCCCAGGTCAGATCTTCTGATCACGCAAAGGGAATAACATATGGCTAACATAGATAGATAGAGAAGTGCATAGAAATAGTGATGCATATGTTGTGTCCTAGGTCGGATCTTCTGATCATGCAAAGGAGACAACATATGACTGACATTAAGGATAATAAACAAAAACAATTTCATACATACCTACTTTAACATAAACCCCCCCCCCCCAGTCACCCTCCTATCAGCACCATAATTAAGGACATAAGTCCTTATGCCGAAGAAATGTTGAGCCACAATTCTAGATGATAAGTAAATTTAATGTATCTCACAGGTTCCCTAGTTTATGTCACTGCTCAACCTATCCAAACGTCGTATGGTCAGTTCAAATGTCACTCTCTAAGTCCAAATGAATAAACACTGGCAAATACTTTCATTGTCAACAATGTCTAATCCTTTTATTTTGAATCCTTCGTACCTACCAACACAGTGAACATACAGTCTAAACAATTTACCTTTAGTGAATTACATGCATTTCATATTGACCTTTAACATTAAACTTCATATCACTTCCCAAAAGTACTTACGAAAGAAAAACATGTCTTTGGGATTTTTCTAATTTTATGATGATTTTTTTATTTTTTATTTCCCCCCCTTAAATTGTGCATGGGGAAGTATGAAAATAAATGCACAAATTCAAACAAAAAAAATATAAATTTGTCTTTGAAACGAATCATTTTCAAGAAAAACTCAGGAGTATCGAAAGAATTCAAATCGTATTACAAAAATTGAAGACACATTCAGATGACTTGATAATAGCAAGTAGATGCTGCAGCGAATTCATCCTTAACTGTGTTTCAATTCTGGAACGAAGTTAACAAACTCAAAATTTAACACACCATTAAGTACGATCCCCATTTGTGATCCTTTCTTTCTTCTTTTCCCGCAAAGGGCACATGCCCTCACTTAAAGTTCTAAATGTTGTGTAATTGAGAGATGTCTCCTATTATGTGTCTAGAATAGCCACTATCAACCTACCGAAGTCTGATGATATTCCTCCATAGCTGCTCCAGCACAGAGTGCGAGATTAGTTGGTCTTTGGAACCTAGTCCATTCTGAAACTAGGTTGACCTTTATCATCTACACAAGGTACTCTTTCCCATGACATATTATGTTTATCAAACATAGAAGATGACAAAAAATTAGAATCATTAGATGATTTGGGAGTGTGAACCTTTGGTACCCATATTTAGTCAGGTTTACCCCATTTCATGTTTGATCATATGGATGCCTTATCACCTACTTTAGAATTTGAAACCGATCACTGAGATGGCTTTGAACTAACTGATCTTCGTTTAACCGAACCATCTCTTGAATTTGGCTTCTTGAGAGTTTGATTCTTGGCCTTTTTCGCATTCCAGTCACCATCGCATGATTGTGACCTCGAAGGATTTATTTTGGAGGATCTCCCTGCTGGCACGTTTTGCCAACCTTGTTTGTAGTAACGAACATATGCACGATGTGGGCAATTTCTTACAATGTGACCTGGAGTCTTATAGTTAAAGAAAGTCTATCTTTTCATATAAATCAGATTGTGACTTGGTCATTGTCCAACTAAAGTTCGTTTTGAAGAGCTTCCACAAGCACAAGCACAAGAACATATGTTAGACTGCTTGACAAACTTTTGTGGCTTAGATTTTTCAACAACGAGGGTGTCATCATCACAAGCTTTTGAAACTTTGTCAACAGAACTAGAATCCGTTTCGTTCTTCTCACTCCCATCTTGCATTGCTTCTTTCTATGCATGTGAACTAAAAGCATTATAATCATTCGCCTCATCACATGGTTTTGAATCCTTTTTAGCAGAACAAGAATTATTTATGTTCCGCTTATGCCCATCTTGCACTATGACCTGCTTTGTACTTGAGGTAGAAGTATCAGAATTGTTCACCTCAACACTTCTAGTGGGACCAGATTGTTCACCCTCAATTGAAATTGATATAAAAGGCTGGCCATATTGAGCAGGTGTCTCTATCTTATTAGTTTCACTGGGCGGGTATAGTTATCATTGAAGGGAGGTGGAACATTGGGATACCCTAGACCTTTATTCTGATTATCTTTGAATTTTAACTGTTTTCTATCATTGTCTCAACCTTTTTACTTGACACATCAAACTTTTTAAAATTAAAGTCTGCTTTCAAACTTATTTTTTAATGTGTTAAGCTCGACAGTTAGACACACAATCTTTTGTTGAGCATAATCATAATGTTCACACTTTGTGTTGTATTCTTCTTGAAGTTTTCTAAAGTCCTTGGTTTTAGCATCTAATTGTTATTTTAAGGGTTTTTGGGCATTTTATGATACTATATCGTTCATATTTGAGGTCCTCTATTTCCCTAATTAATAACTCATGTTGATCACGATAATATTTAATTTTAGCTTCACAGGACTGAGAGCATGAAGTTTTACTTACCTCTTTTGTGGTAGACTCCATTGAATAATACCGAATAAAAAAATTAGCCGAGAACACAGAATATCAACTAAATTTGTTGACCGAGAACTCCAAGAATCAACAAAAACTCATTGATCGAAAGCTCAAAAGTTTGACCAAAAAGTTGACCGAGATTTGAATTGAAATGAACAAAAAATGGATCGAAAACAACCAAATCAAATTTTGAACCGAAATCAAAATTTTAAAATGGACCGAAAACTCAATTGTTGACCCAAGTGTTGATTGTTTACAATTAAAACCAAAAGCGCATAACTAAAATTGGATAAATTGAAAATTGAAAAATTAAATTAAAAAAAACTGATAAATAAAAAAAAATCACAAATAAAACAAAATTGGACTTTGATTTCGGTTAATATATATATATATTATATATATATATATATATCCGGTAATAATTTTTTTTTGTAGGAAGATAAGAAGTTTTTTTTCTACTTATTTTTTTGAGAATTTTTTCTTGTGAATCATCTTACAAATGAATCATCGAATGATTCATTTTGTTTGTTCGCGAAAAAAATATGTAGAAAAAAAACTTCTTAACTTCCTACCAAAAATTTCCTTCTTATTTGATCTTGACTCTCTCTCTCTCTCTCTCTCTCTCTATATATATATATATATATATATATATATATATATATATATATATATATATATA